ACCTAGAATGGATCCTTGAGGGATCCCGCCTTTAGTGGAACATTTAACTTCATCCATTAAACTGAGCACAATTCGGTTTTCTGAGTGCTTTCAAATTTTTTTCCTTCTCCTGTATAATCAACTAGTCAATCAGACACAAGGAACATCACGGGACTATACACAGAGAGATATATGTACAGCGATAAGGAAAATAAATCATGTATTTCATGTGGTTCTACCTTCAAACACCCAGCGATGAAAAGACTAAATGTGGCTGTATCCCCTACTGATGTCCCCATCCTTCCTCCAGCAGTCCACGCTTTAAGCTTTCCAAAATCTATTTCCTCTGCTGGCCTTGAGTCTGGCTGGTAGCTTTGGAAAAACAGCGAGGCTGTCCTGACATTCACCAACTGGCCTGGACCACATTAAGTGGGAAAAAGGAAACCGGCAGCTCTGACCATCCTTCCCTCTGATTAATGCTTCAGAGAGTCTTTCGGATTTGGCATGTGATAGCTGAACTGATGCCAGCCCGTCTAGTCCTGACATATTGGGCAGGCAGGCAGACATGCACACACGTCAAATGTAGCAAACTGAAGAGAAATCAGCTCTTGTCTCAAGTTCAAGTTGAGATAAACAACAAGCTGTGCTGCCTTTCCTGACCTCAGACGTCCTCCTCCAATGATTAACTGCACTAAGCAGAGTGACAGGACAGTGAGAATGTGGATCACAAAAACTGCATTATGTCTCATAACTCTCAAATGTCTGCTTGTCCAAACATGCCGCATATTTGATTCAGGAATTTAGGCAAAACTCCAGGCCGACCACTCTGAATATCCGCTCACGACGATGGCATCACAGGTCGAGCATCAGCATCGTGAATGCAGGGATGCTGAGAGGCCTCGATGTCTCGTACCGTACACACGGTCTCAATTTGGCAGGGGAAGCCTTTAGTGAAATGTAGAGGAAAGAAAGTGTAACTCTGGTGTTGAGCCAACCGATCAATAAAGTGGTGTCATTTTTGACCCTTGCAGTACTTTAACCTGAAAACATCATTATTTATGTATGAGGTAAGGGATTTATGGCGCTATATGCACTCAGAACACAAAACATGCAATGCATTCAAAATTTCCTGAAATATCTAGTTCTGATTTATATTTCCGTTAACAAAGTTGTTGTTTTTTCCACAATTTGTTTTAGCTTTGGTTACTTTAGTGCTCAGCACCATCACCTTGTTTTACCTGGGATTCTCTCTCACACACACACACACACACACACACACACACACACACACACAGAGGACTCGGTCAATATACAAACACAGGTGTCCATTTCCAAAAACATCTCAATTTCTGCTCATTCATAAAACTGAGTCAGCGCCGTTTGCAGAGGTTTGATTTCATGTATCCTAAAGCAGCGTAGTACTGTGGATACTGAACATAAATATAGTAAATGGTTAACAAAAGAAATAAGGGTGGATGTAGAGTTGGCTGTAGTAATGCTATAGGAAAAAAAGAAACCAAAGCAGCACCTGAGCACATGGGAAACAGGCCTGGAGCGGAGCAGAGACATTACATTATGGCAGCGCATGTTAAGTTCCCCCTGCTCACAAAGCTGCTTCGCTATTATGAATATCTGCACAGTTACATAAGCACATATTAGGTTTGAAATAAAAAATAAATAAATAAAAAAAAGGAGAGATGAGAGCCGTCTGAATCAGAAGATAAGGCTGCCAGGAGTGAGTCGTGTTGCAAGTAAGAGAGGAGGAACTGAAGAAGGAGCGCACGACAAAAGCATGCCTGTGGAAATTCATGACACCTGAAAACTAGACAAAAATGGTTTTGTTTTTTTGCTTTTTAAATCTCTCTTTTAAATCCCAGCTGTGAAGATGAGAGTGCCTGAAAGAGACGGGCACATGCTGGGCTAGTTGTTGCTGGGACTTGAAAGGGATGATCAAGTTAAGAGCTAACACATGTGCTGCTAATGTCTTGCATATCAAGCTTCCACGCCATCGCCAGAACCAAAAAAAGAACTGTGAGAGCATGCACCCAAGAGGAGGAGACGATAGTGTTTGAATGGAAAAAGTAACAGGAGGTGTGAGAAGAGACAGGAGCTCTATGGAAAACACATTTGAACAAAGTTTTTACCACGTATGAAGCGTGTGCATGTGTGTGAGACCCTCATGCCATTACAGGTGAGGTTCTTTCAAATTGCACATAATAAGATCTACAATGGTACCAATAATTAGGCAGCCTATTAATCTACTGTCATGCAGAGGATTGGATGGAATATAGACTACAATCCTGGAACGTAAAAATTAAGGTGAACACTCTGGTGGCACAGCAATCTTAATATACACCCATAGGTTACCTTAGTGAATGACCGAAAGACATTTCGGCTAATGATTCTCATGTCTGTCGTTTTTTCACTTGGGACCCGCGTAGAGATTTGACTGTAATATTGTTTGAACCTATCCTAATTCATGCAAATCCTGCATCTACAGGTTACAAAGAAGAGTTAAATATGATGGGAATGAATACCAAAACAAAAAATTATCGTATGCTGCTTAATGCCTCTAATCATTTCACAACCTGTGCACAAAGAATCAGCCAGACATCAATCATCAGTCTGTGAGTAAGAGGTTCCAGTTTGGAGACCGCCTGCTTGGAAATGCACAGCACAAAAGCCAGTTGGGTGGGGGTAGAGGGGGTAAAGAGGTATTTGGGTCAACATTTTTCATATTTTCGGCCTTTCATTTGTTTATCCTCTGGAAATCCAACATAACATACTTCTGCACAGCTCTTTCTCAGCCCCGCTGCTCCGAGCTCTCTGTACTGTACCTTCCCTCCAAAAGCTTTTAAGTCTCCTAATGAGATTAATTAAGCCGGTCCAGAGTTTGTTTAATGAGGCCCTAGTGGCCTGAAGCACGGAAAAAGACCCATGGCTGGGAAACGGGAGCTTTGCATTCCAAATACAAAACAAAAAAAGAAAAGAAAAACAGCAGAACTTTAAAGAAGGCTTTAAAAATAGGCTTTGCAAAGTTAAACCATCAGTTAAGTGGTGGTAATCCATTTAGCTACAGAGCAGCTGGACACATTTACAGATCAGTGAGTCAGTAACTAAAATGGATACAGTTTCCAGTGCAAATTCCAGTCTGGAGGACCCTTGATTGTTTCCTTTCCTTCTCTGAATGAAGCCTCAGGAAGCAGACTACACTCCCATCGTTGGAAGAGTTTAGTGACTTCCATCAATCTTTGTCCAATTCACTTCTGATCAGGTCAGTTGCCTCCCTTTACATTTTGCTTGGATCAAGCTACAAAGCACAACTTCAGCAGCTCTAATTTAAATAAAAAGAATTCATTTCAGTGACTTCAGAGCTTGCCATCACCTTTGATGTGTAATCAAACGTTTGCTACTGCCACCAAGTCTCTCAGATGGGAGAAGCAGCACTTTTAGGCGTGCTCACAGCGAAGTGGGCCTTCATCTTTAACTGCTGTCCACGTTTCTCAACATTGCCAGCAGCCTCCTAGCACTAGCTTGTAGTAATGCACCCGTACATGCATCGCCTCAGTATCTGTGCACCGATACGACATTACGCACGCGGTTTTTCTTTTCTACATATCAGCTGATTTTGCAGTTTGCTTTGGTGACAAAATAGAATCAAACAGCAGGGAAAAAAAAAAAAAACACTCAGTGACACAGCAACAAATTTCATTAACAGGTCCACATCTCAAAATAATCTTGGCTGTTTTTTGACTCATGCTTGTGCTCTGCTGCCAGTAATTCACTTACCTCATATCAAGTATCTCCTAATGCATCAACAGTCTTATCTTTCATATGACAAATTAGATTTGGAACTTATCAAAAGATAATTTATGAATAAGCGTTACATCAAAGCCCATTTGGTTAAAGTAGCGCCAAGAACTCATCTCATCCTGGATGTAAAGTGCTGTTACAGTCAGTCGAGCTGGATTCCCGAAAACAAACACTAAACACACACAGAATGCTCATGAGCCACGTGCTCATGTACCTATAATCTAATCAAATAATAACTAAACAGTGTGATGTGACCAATATAGGTCTCCCTTTATTGTAGCACAAAAATGCAAACTTCAGTTCAGTAACAGGTTTTGATCCCAGTGTTTTGGGGGTTTACCTATTTGCCTCTCCAGGTCGGCGGCCTCGTCTGGGCTGGCCCTGGGCAGCACTCCGGGGTCACTGAAGCTCGTTCTCAGGAGCGTCCCCAGCACAAACAGAAACAGCACACCTCCTATGACCGGGATGACTGGAGTCAACTGCTGCGCCAGGAACGGACAACTGTAGGACAAGGAGAGGCGATGAGGAAAAGATGAGCAACAATGACGGCAGAAACGCAGTCTTGGTGTGACACTGGACAAACGCCGGCAGGCTGCCGAGCTCGATTTAATCGTTAGCACATAACGGACACCAGCGGAGACGAGCGCGGAAACCGATGAAGTGGAAACACCAAACTCTCGCTGCTTAATGACCAGTAAGTGGATATGACCGCTTAATAGACCGACACACATGTAAGAGTCAGTCCCCTGTGTTTTAATCTGCTTTAATGAGACAAACTCACATAATCCCATTAAACATCCAACAGCGCAGGTGGTTATTACAGTAATCACATTTAGGTCCCACAGAGGCAGGACACAGGCTGCTGCATCCCATTTCATCTGTTACACTGTGGTCTGCTGGATCAGATTTGAGGTCTGCAAAGAGGAACTACTCCAGACAAGGACGGCTGAAGGAACATGTGGCAGCCGTATGCTGTGAGGGATGTTGCTGAGGAATGCAGAGCAGCACTGCCACACTGGCAGGACTGAGCACATGCCGCCGACATGTTACGCAGTTTATGGAAACAGCAAACCATGCAGCGTGCATGTTTTTTCCCTCGTTATCTTTTACTCGCAGTGTGATGTCACTCACCAGTTTTGTGCTCTGTATTTTGAACACATTTTTGGGTAACTGAGCTGTACCCATAAACTTCATGGGCCACTAAGTAAGCACACACACCAGTGAATCAGTAAACATGGTTTTTCATGCTGTACTATGCAGCTCGACTCGTCTTGGAACCAGCCTCGAGCGGCCAGCAGAGAAAGTGCAGATGTTTAGCATCGGCTTCTTTTTCCAGCTCAGGTTGGTTTTATCACGCTGGTCTTCAGATGAAGCACCTTAGGGGTATGATATGTGCCAACACCAGTTAATCTGCTGAACTGGGCCATATTTAGATTTGCCATGCTGGGTTCTTCTAGCGATAGTGGTCTGAGTAGACGCACATTTGAACTGGGATCCAGCGTCTTCTGTCCTCTCATAAGAAAAGAGTGTAGAAGTTACACATCCTGCCGCCATCAGTTCATTTTGGTGTGAAGTTAAAAATAAAATCTAGATAAGAGGCTCTGTGAGATGAATACCAAGTAAAAGATTTTATGACTCAGAAAGACTGAAGCTGACCTGAGCTGTACCCTGGCTGAGTGCAGACAGTCCAGTCCTGCTGCTCTCTGCATCCACAGCGACACAGAGCTCTCGACTGTCAGTGGGAGGCTGCAGACGGCACGGCTCCCAGCAGGATGCCGTTTCTCCTGCTCTCCTTGGTAATTCATTGCTTCAAATTTGAATCTCATTTCTTTTACGTCAATATAAGTTTTGAATGATTTAAAAACGCTGCCTTCTCTTTTTAGGACGTGGACACTCTGTGTGCTTCACACCTCCTGCTTCTACACTCACCACAGCAGAGATATCATCCTCTAACACCAATCAAACAGAGCATGTTCTCGTCACGGGACGAGGCAGCAGTGCAGCCCACTTTTATTTATAGAAATCTGAAAAAATATCATCACCAATTCAACTGTAAATATTAAAATGTGCACAAATCAGGCTGCTCTTCACCTCCACGTGTGTTTTAGTGTTTAAATACTCTCATATTGCTCGTTGTGCTGTATTTATCACATACTTATATGAGTAGTATAATTTTTTTTTATAAAAACCCAACTAGGGCCTATGCTATAAATTGCAGGTTTTAAACATAAGGCCAAGAGGCAAAGAGGCCCACAGGACATCTCTGCAACACGTGAAGGAGGACACAGATTTTGGTCTTCTAACTGTATTCTCAGTTTAGGTTTTACTGCTCGTCCTGCTGATGAGGACGTCCCCACAGTCTTTCACACTACAATGACAGAAAAACAAATGACAGAAGTTGTCCACCCCCCCAATAGAAATTTATGTTTTGGTTTGTTTTTAATAGCGTGTCCACAGTAAAATCCATGAATGTAAATAAAAAAAACCAGGGTATTTTTGGTGAATTACCGAAACCTTTCTGCTTTATAATTCCAGGACAGTGAAAAATGAGCACTGAGAAGGGTTCCTGTAAATCTACAGATCTTTTTACAGTTTAAGCTCAGAGTTGTGCCGACAGATTTCTTTCATTGAATCGAGCAGCATTTTTTCCTCGTGTAGTGAAACACACGTGCAGTTAAATTCTTTTCTTATATTGAGCAGCACAGTGATTAAATGTGCAGCTAAACTGACAGAGGGGAGCATGAGGGACGGGGACAGGAGAACTGGACTATGGAGCCGGCCCTGCCATTGATCCCTCTGAGCTGGGAGACACAAGCTGACTGGGAAACTGCTCTAAGTTGCTCTACTGCTAAGAAGCTGCAAAATGTGTGTTTTTAGAAACTTAGCTGTAACTGAAAGACTGGAAACAAATCAAACTGCACCGAGAGGACTGTGCTGGTGCCAAAAACACATTTTTAGCAAAGAACATTAAACGTAAAAAATGTTTCCATCGAGCTCATTCTCCTGTTGACATTCAGAACTTTCCCATGCCGTCCAAACTGCTTTTTTCTCTTGATGGTTTGTTTAACCTTGTGGTGTCTAAGTAACTTTTTCACTTTCTTTAACCTAAAATGCACAAACTAGTAATCTAATCTAAGATCATTTCAAACACATCATGGCAGTTTATTCAGGACTCCAAGCCATGTACTTCCCATAATTCAGTAGGGTGTATAACCACGTGTAGCAGCAGCGAGCTGGAGCAATCGGTGACTTTATCGCTCTCTCATATAACTGTGGAGGCGACCCAGCAGTTATTTACACGCAGCTCTCTTTAGGTTAAACTAACCTTAACTAACCCTGGTCTAAACTTCAGTCTCATGGTGACAGAGCCCTCTCTGTGGCAGGTCCCAGACTCTGGATATCAGATCTTCACAGGGTGAATCACAGCAGCTGACAGAGACCCACAGCCTGCCTCTGTCAGTCTACATCTGTCCCATGGAAACACACAATTTCAAAGTCTTGTGTCATTACAGAGCATCTTTTCATCCGCCTGCTCAATCTTGCCTCTATTCACTATGATTGGTCACACACCACATTAATGAATCCTCTAATTAGAAGTGCTAATGGGAAATCGTTACAGTTGTAAAAAGCTTGGCAGACCTCGTGTGAGGGTGCTGCATCTGTAACAATTAACCCAAAGCTGAGATCTGCACAATTCTGAAGTAATCAAAATCAAGCTGAAACGATCATTTAGAAATGAATACATGATGGACTGCGGGGAAGGTTCTCTTTCTGCTGACCAACAAAGTGCACGTGAATGTGCGCTCTGTGGCAAACAAAAACATGTCTTACATTTCAAAACTTGTCATTCAGCGAATGCCTACAGAGAAGTCTGAGAGAGCAGAGCGAAAACCTGCTGCCTGTGTCCTCAGGTGCTGTGTCTCAATGTGTCAGACATGGGGAACATAATGAAAAGGCAGTCATGTGTGATAGAAAGTGACAGGTGGGTAGAGCTGGGCAGAGATTAAGCACTAAAGCCATTAGAGGAGCAGGACAGGAGCGACATGAAGCCTGCCTCTTCTATCCACATGGATCGATAGAAAAACACGGACATGCTCTAGGCAACCAACATCTCGCCTGGTTTAAGATCTTCCTGACAAAGTCTTTAAAAAAACCTTTATCAGCAACCGAACACGGAGCGTAAAGCCTACAGGCCACTCTCACTGCCTTCAAGCTTTGAAACGAGCAGAAATTCACAAGGAAATTCAAATTTGCATCTTTACTTCTCTTTACTTGACACAAAATCTTATATTTAACTGGGCCTTTGTTGCCATGGAGACGGACAGTATCCAATGTCAGACATGGTAAATTTCGAAGGGGGATGTGGTTACCCTGGAAACAGCCACAGGAGTGAGGCTGAAGCTTCCAAGGAACAAGAAAAAACCCACAAAAATACATTAAAAAAAAAAAAAAAAAAAAAAAAGAGAGAGACAAGACAGCACGATTGCTTCGATACAGCCCTTTTAGGTGTCTCAAGAAATCGTTTGATTAATAAAGACAAAGAACTGCTGTTGATGTGATCCACAAAGACCACAGGGGAAATCTCAATACATGTGCCTAAATAAGAACAAATAGTGACTTATCTGATGTTGGTATCATCGCAGTGACAGTGAAACAGAAAAAATGCCTGTTATTTATTACAACCTACGAGTTTATGGGCCTTTGACGAAGTTTATGAGCAGAGTGAACTCAATGCTGTGAGTTCACCCAGCTCGCAGTGAGTCTGTTGTGTTATTTTACAAAACCTGTTCATTTCCTCGTTTGTCATCTATACTAAAAAAGACTAATCCTGATAAAAGACGGTGAGCAGTACTGGGGGGGGGGGAATTAACTTTCACTATTAAACGCAAGTTAAAATGAACAGCTGCCCTGTTTGTTTAAACATTTAAAAGGTTTCCACACCAAAGAGGACCTTTGTAAGCTGGCGTCTAGTGAACTGTACAGCAGAGTTTCATATGTGAATGTAAAAATCAAAGCTCAGTTTCAGCTCCTGTTTACAGAAAGTCGGCTGTGTCCACTCCGACACATCAGTGCTGTCAACTAGGGCTGCCACGATTAGTCGACTATCAAAATCGTCAACGACTGATTTAATAGTCGACGCGTCGTTTGAAGCTTTGTAAGATCACAAAAGACGCAGGAATAAGTAGTAGGATTTAAGAGTGTAATAACGGACTGAAACAGAAGATGGCAGCATTGCATGTACAAGGATGCAAGAAGAAGAAGAAGAAGAAGAAGAAGAAGCTGTGTCCCAGAATTCATAGCGCAGCCCAGCTCAGTTTCCAACAATGGCAGCAGCTAGTTAGTTTTAATATTACTCTTATTATTCTTTCTGGGTCACAAAATAAACGTTTAATATGTTTTCAGGCGAGAATGTAGCTGTGTAAACCTCAAATATCTGCTCAGTTTATCAAGACACCACATATTTTCAAAAGCGCTCCGACGTTTTCGGAGACGTCTGTTAC